AGGACAACGCTGAGATTAAACCGTAAAATTAGTTTTCATGGCGTTTACGACTCGCAAATACCGAAAGAAATACTATAATATACTAATATTTATACAAATTAACAATAGCGAGAACTTGTTGTTAATAATATTGTAAAAAATAAAATTGAATTTACGAGTATATATGAAAATATGGTTTTGTCTACTGTATTAATATGTAATTAATTGTAACTAGCCAACCTGATGTTCAGTGATTACCGGAGCCCATAGACATCTACAACGTACAAAATAAATTAATTAACTGTAATTTTCAATTCGTTTATGTTTATATTAGTTTATATTTTCGGACAAAAAAAAGGCCTAAGTAGCACAAAGCATTTTAAACGGCTACGCGTAAAACTCCATCTTATTAACTCTCAATTATGAATCATAGATTAGGTTATTAACTGCAATTTTCAAACACGTAATAATTATATGTATAAATCACGCGATGAGTCTTTGTATTTAAACGATCACTTTATCTATATAATCCATTCGTTAAGTGGACAAAATGAGAAACTACCTGTGTTTGATATTCATCTTGGTCAGCTGCTTTGGCTGCGCTAAGTCCTCAAGCGAACATCCGGGTTCTGACTATGGTAATGTCTTTTTAAACTAAAAAAAAATCTAGTATATTTCTAGAATACAGTGTGGGAACAATGGATAAGCGGGGCGGACTACACCTGGCCACACTTTTCCATGACAATAGAAGAACGTAAAAGAAATAAAAATGGAACTGGATTTTAAGTTTAGTTTTATGTCAGATGGTCAGAGCAGCAGAGTATGAAGACTGATTGGTTATTCCTAAAATTCCAACATGATGGAGTAGCCTCGCTAATGCTTAGCATTCGTCCAAATCCTGTCACTCTGGCTATATTTATTTCAGAGAAATTACATTTTTGGGTGGGTCATCGTGCCTAAGGTCCATTAGCTACTTGACGCCACGTGAGCTCATCCATATATTGCAATAAAAACAAAATAATTATTTCAGATTCAATACGAAGACCTTGCCCCAGTTTCAACATAGATTGTATCAGGTCATACTTCCAGTACCACGCGTCATGTGTACCCCACTACGAACCTATACCAGATCAATTATATCTGCAGAAGTACTCATTGTACATTGCCAATTCTAATATTACTGTCGAATTGAATGACGTGAAAGTCCAAGGTCTTCTTAACGCCAAAATCGTAGAGTTTTAGTAAGTATCTTTATGATTTAGTTTGAATTTCTCGACCACGAGGTTACGTTGCTTTATGTGCGTTATATGTAAGAAATTAAGATTTTAATATTCTAAAAATTGGATTGAAAAAAGTTGGAAAGAATATTGAGCTCCGATGGTGACTATCAAAACAGTTTTAAAGCCTTGTGTACTACTATGATGTTGAGATTGATATGAGGTTTTAAAATGGAAATTTCACTATAGTGTAGTTTTTATTGAATGAATTCTGTATTCTTATGTGACCTTTACACTTATTTACCTATGATTGGTTCTAATCCAGTTAGAATCCAGGTTATTCAAAAGCATTTTGAAACTCTAAGTGTCCCACTTTTAGAATTACTCAAACATGACTCGCTCTGAATACGTAAAGTTATTAAAATTATTTTTCATGTTTCCATAAATGTCATTTATGAAAACAAAGCTGTTATATAGTATAGGTACATAATTATATTTTTAAAATTATTAAATTTTTTCAGCATTAATAAAAGAACAGATAAGCTAGTGCTTGCTATTGAAACGGAAAAATTGACGGTCGAAACACCTCGTATGCTGATGAAGTATCTTAGGAAAGCCCAAGAACCGATAGAATTGGTTGACAATCTTTACGTCGGCTATGGTAAATATCCTCAGTGAAGCACTAGCACTGCTCTTGCTAGGGCTAGTGTTAGCAATTTCTCTCATCTGGAGTCGATGAGCTCACCTACCTATTCAGGCTTAGTTGAAATATCAATGATTAGTTAGGAAAAGTCAAATACAGGTAATCCGTGATCTGTGTGTAGTTTAATAATATTTTCTAAATCTATGTCAATTAGTGCTCAACCAGTAATCGAAATTCAAGAATTTCAGAATGAAAGTAATTAGTTGAATGTATTTGAGATACAGGCTAAAGCCGGAGACAAAATACGGGATGGAATTAGACAATAAACAGTAAAACAGTAGATTTAAAATGGTCTCATAGGCTAAGTTATTTTTCTAAAATATTTGGCCTAGTAATTGTAGTACCTATTTATTTATAAGTATTATTTGTGAAGGAGACGCATCTTTAAAAGAAATTGTTTGCACAACATCTATATTTTTGGCATTTATATCTTAATAACCTAGAAATGGAAAATCATTATAGTGGAAATATTTTGTACTGCCGTAAACATTTTTTTAGCATGGATCGGAACTGTTCAGACTATTTCTTCTTCTAATAAATCGAGCTGAAGATCAGATTTACTGTTACTACACAGTAATTAAGACTGCAAAATTGCGCCTTAATTTGGACGTCTTAGAATTCGAAGAAGCAAATGATAATATGAAAACAACATTAGAGGAATATACAAGTGAATTTGAAGCTTTAGTTGAAATTTTGAGAATAAGAATAAGTTTAAAACTATTTCACAGGCGTAGTAACAATAACGGCGACTATACCTTACATCAACAACATTCAGTTGACAAATGCCGAAGTTACCGCATACGCTGAAGATGGCAACCCACCATATACTATGGGACCCAATATCAACAACAGTTCAGGTATATGTTTTTTATTAATTAATTTTTTATTGTATAGGTGTTGAGTTACTGTGATGTTAAGTGGTTACCGGAGCCCATAGACATGCCCCCACCTACCTTGAGATATGAGTTCTAAGGTCTCTGTATAGTACAACGGCTGCCCCACCCTTCAAACCGAAACGCATTACTGCTTCGCGGCAGAAATAGGCGGGGTGGTGGTACCTCTCCTTGCGGACTCAAAAGACGTCGTACCACCGACTACACGATGTTATTCCTTAACCGTGGAAGTCAATCGTGAATATTTGTTAAGTACGTATTTCATTACAAAAGTTGGTACTTGCCAGCGGGATTCGAATACCGGTGCATCGCTAGATACAAATGCAGCGGAATTCTTATCCTTTAGGCCACGACGACTTGAATATGTAAAAAAATACTCAGTTGTAGCCAGCGATTTAGTTCTGTAATGTCGAATAAGTATGTGACAACTCACCATCAGTTATACCATATGGTCTAAAGCATTTAAAGCAAAAAGTATTTAGTTGGATCTTAAATATTTTTCATGAATAATTCGACTGATTTTTTTATTGCGATCTGGATGTCCGAAGCGTTAAACAACTGATATTTGAACAAAAATGAAACTAAAAAACATCCTTATCGTGAACAAGAACATATCTAAGGACCCAGATAGCGCAAAACTGAATGATGTCACCCGTCATCCGCTAACTTAACCCAAAAAAAATTTACTTTTCAGATCCGGTAGTGAAGACATCATACGAACATTTGCTTAACAATATCCCGTTCAACATTCGGGAAGCGTTCGTGACTCAAGGGCCCCTGTTCATGGCGAACTACATACAATACAATATTTGCGATTTCGGATTGAGATTCAACAGCTACTCTCACTGAATCTAGTGTTTCAATTAATTCTACAGATTTCAGCAACGGTTTTATTTATTTATCTCATTGATCACCCTCATGCCAAAATTCGTATTTCTCGTTTATTTGGATCAATTACCTCTTCTAAATCACTTTATATCTTGGATAGTTTCTGTTTGATAGTTATTTACGCTTAAATTGTTATTTAATGCAATCAGTTTGGTGCACAATATTTTCAAAATATAATAAACGTTTATTCACTTCTTAATTTGGTTTTTTTAATTTTTCTGAATTCTACTAACATGTGTGCCTACCATTATGTTTTCAATTGTTTTCATATTTTGTAAGAATGCTGCGTACTTAACAGGAAGTCTAGTCGAATTTAAACATTTTGATGATATTAACGTTAATAGTCGTGATTGCCAACGTGCGAGCAGCGGATACAAGCTTCCGCGAAATTTTGGGACTACTTTTTATTGCTTAGATCGAAGAACGAAGATGTGGACAATTTGACGTGATGATTACCAGTGCCCATGCATATGTTATTGTGAATACATTTAAGACATGAGGTCGAAGTAACAATTGTATTATACGACTGCTGTCCCCAACCAAAATTGATCCCCAAACCGATCACAAAGCATGATAGCTTCGCAAACAGGATAAAACCCTGCCACTAAAAATTACACAAATTTATCTTCTGAATAATCTGAACTTGATTTTCATTACACTAATTAGATGAATTGATGCCTGTCTATGGAATTTGAACACCGATATGCGATCGCTCGATGAATACATCAGGCGTCTTATACTTAAGGTCATGGTGACATCAAAAATTAAAAGCTCTGTTTTACGACCACTTGGTTCGAAAATAATATATTTTTAACTCCACCTTAATAAATACAGTATGTGCTTCTTTACCTTACTGTTTTTACCCTATTATTTTTAGCTTAAGTGCGCTTTCACTTTATAGGACGTAAATATATATTTGCAGTGATGCTTCCGTAGTGTTGGAGTAATTTGGAAATTATTGTGTTATAAAATAGACGAATTGTTAATGTCCGTCGAAATTACTAAATATTACTTAAATTCAAGTGAATGAGTAAAATTTTTAGTTTCGCGAATTTTTAGTTACAGATAAAGCTTTCTAATTTATAAAATTATTGAAAATTTAAAACTAAAATACCAAATTTTCAAATGCGTAAAGTAAATAATCATAAAAAAAAATTATATTTTTACGTGAAACTTTTAATCGAGTCTTTCGAAAATACTTAAATATCTTACGTGTCTTCGCTATATTTCACATTAGTGGGTCTAATGATGCAATAAAAAAACTTTACATTTTATTTTTTATGATGTATTTAAACTTATAAATTAATAATTTTCACTTACCTTTAGTAGATTAAGCAACGTGTCATCTTTGGAAGACTTCACTCGCGATCACCGGCGCTATCACGTATCAAAGTCGTAAAGTTTTCCGATATTTTCCGCGAGCTTGGCAAATTCCCCTACCAAGCGTCTACTCTCGCGAAAGCTCGCGGTCAACTGAGCTACTCCGTTATATTGGAAGCGAGTCTCTGCTTTCATGAAATGAACTGAAAGGATTCTTCCGTAACTGAAATGACGTAAAAGCCAGTAGCGGTTCAACAAACAACAATCATACGCCAGAGTGTTAAGGTTCTATTTAAGTGAACAAAAAATTTGTTTTCAAAGTCTTTGGTTGTTTGTTTGGGAGGGCACAGAGGCGGGAATGAGTGTGTCAAAAAAAATAAGCCAACCGCGTCTCAGTGAATCGAGGTTGTATGGGCGGGAGTCTATAGAATATCTTTAATTAAAACGCCAACTTTGCCTTTAATGAAGTGAAGTTCGTTGAAAAATCTGGTACGATAGAGGAAGATGGAAGAGCCTGGGGATGTTTAGACTTCACACAAAATCCGAATTAATTAGCCGCGAGTAAGTTATACGATGCAACGCTTTGATGCAGATCGTTCTGTTTGATACTAATGAAAACTGGAATTATAGTTGTGTAATTAAAATATTTTTGATAACTCGTTCCTCTTATTTGAAAGGAATGCGAGTTTTTTTATTCTCTATTTTACAACTGTTAATGAAAAATCTGATACAGTGGATTACATAGTAAAACAGGCGTGTTTTTTTTAGCGCTCTTATTTCCTTCGCTGCTTATTTCAATCCATTTAAAATGTTTAAGACTAAATTTAATTTAGGAAAAGTAAATTGATAAGCAAAGAAACATGAAATTTAAATGTAGCATCATCGTCGTCCGGATCACGATTACAAAAAAAATCTTCACGATGCCAAAACCTTTTATTTCGATTAAAGTAATTTATCTGAAATCAATCGCATCAAAATCAGATTTTTCGACTCCGAATCATGAAATAAACGGTCGTCCTTTTCTTGCGAGGCGTGGTTTCAGGGCAACGCATGCGCTGTCTCATAATCTTAAGAATAAGAATCAAATTTTTTGCGCGTTTCGTGATAGTATTACTTTTGTTTTATATACATTATGTACGCATATAGTCACTATATAAAAGACGTCAGCGACGCAAGAAATGTCTGATCTCAGATCGTTTTGACACAGCCATCTAGCTATCTTCTATTGTTTTCTAGACACAATGTGGTTTTATAAAATGTATTTTCTTTGAGAACAATTATTGGGAAACTGAACGTAATGAATTTTCAGTTTCTTTTTGTACTCTACAGCTCAGGAATACAGCCATATCGCAGCCTATTGCTCAAGGCTCTCCTGAAACCTCTGTTGAAAGAGGACATGTCATAGAGCACTGGGAACGTAGAGACAGTCGATCAGTGGACGAGATCAGAGCTCACCTAGTGTTAAGTGGTTACTGGAGCTCATAGACATCTATAACGTAAATGCCCCACCCACCTTGAGATATAAGTTCTAAGGTCTCATAGTCACAAGGGCCCTTCAAACCGAAACGCATTACTGCTTCACGGCAGAAATAGTCAGGGCGGTGGTACCTAAATGTGCGGACTCACAAGTGGTCCTACCACCAGTGATTACGCAAATTATAATTTTGCGGGTTTGATTTTTATTACACGATGTTATTCCTTCAACGCGGAAGTCAGTCGTGACAATTTGTTAAGTACGTATTTTATTAGAAGAAATTGGTACCCGCCGGCGGGATTTGAACATCGGTGCTTCGCTAGATACGAATGCACCGGACCTCTTATCCTTTAGGCCACGACGATTTAAAGTAAAATTATGGATGAACTATGAATACTACGATATTGGACGGCGTAATGGAAAACACTCGGACACGAAAGAATCAAAGTCCCTCTCTAGACCTACTTACTCACCCATACACTCCATTACTTCTTCACTGCAAAAATAGGCAGGATGCTTACAATACATCATACTACTAGTAAGAAATATAGAATATCTCATAGCATTTAAACATATCACTACATAGTATAAAACAAAGTCGCTTTCTCTGTCCCTATATCTGTCTGTCCCTATATCCCTATGCTTAAATCTTTAAAATTACGCAACGAATTTTGATGTGGTTTATTTTAATAGATAGAGTGATTGAAGAGGAAGGTTTATATGTATAATAACATCCATTAAATAGTGGAGAAATCAATAATAAATTACAGTTTCCGAAGCGAAGCGAGGGCGGGTCACTAGTTAATAATAAAACTTTAATTAATAGTTGAAGTTTTGGAATATTTTTACGTTTAATTTAAAGTACTTATTTACTGGTGGTAGGACCTCTTGTGAGTCCGCACGGGTGGGTACCACCACCCTGCCTATTTCTGCCGTGAAGCAGTAATGCGTTTCGGTTTGAGGGGTGGGGCAGCCGTTGTAACTATACTTGAGACCTTAGAACTTATACCTCAAGGTGGGTGGCGCATTTACGTTGTGGATGTCTATGGGCTCCAGTAACCACTTAACACCAGGTGGGCTGTGAGCTCGTCCACCCATCTAAGCAATAAATAAAAAAAAAGTAAATCCTATTTATTACACCTATTTCATATTGGGTATTTTCTATAAATAAACTCTGTACAATTGTGCCATTCTAATCTCTTCACATTGTTTTTATATCTTAAACGGCCGTCGCCTTCGAAGTTACGAAAAAATAGACCAGAAATGGTATTGGATGTTTTAAGCGTCATAGTAAAATATAGTAAAAACTGCCGGGAAAAAACGTCCGTAACGTAAGATTTTCATTAGCAATGCACACAGTGTACGACTTAGCTTTGTAATAACGTACAAAAAATAACATATTTTTATTATATATTTTTTATAAATCATGGTGAATAAAATAAAGTTGATAACTTTGTAAAGTAGTTTTTTATTTTATTTTAACAATAAAAAAATCATAATAAAAAATGTATACTTACCCGAATAATTATTTTCCTTAAGCCTCGAATAGAACTAAAAATTAATATTTTTATAATAAGGAGCTACGTTCCTATCCGGTGTCCCACAATACCACACATCTTTTTTATTGCTAAGATGGGTGGACCAGCTCACAGCCTACCTAGTGTTAAATGGTCACCGGAGCTCATAGACATCAACAAAGTAAATGCCAACGTCCATCTTGAGACACAAGATCTAAGTCTCAGTTTTTACCGTATCGCCTTTCAAACCGAAACGCATTACTGCTTCACAGCAAAAATAGGCAGGGTGTTGGTACTCATCCGTGCGGGCTTACAAGACGTCACTAATAATTACGCAAATTATAATTTTTGCGGGTTTTTTCTTGATTACACGATGTTATTCCATCACTGCGGAAGTCATTCGTGAACATTTGTCAAAAATGTATTTCGTTAGAAAATCTCGGCACAGTCGTATCAATCGATACAAATGCATGGACCGTGCTATCATTTAGATCACGATGAGTTCAAAGTAATTAATTCTATAAGTTCAAAGATCAGNAATTACGCAAATTATAATTTTTGCGGGTTTTTTCTTGATTACACGATGTTATTCCATCACTGCGGAAGTCATTCGTGAACATTTGTCAAAAATGTATTTCGTTAGAAAATCTCGGCACAGTCGTATCAATCGATACAAATGCATGGACCGTGCTATCATTTAGATCACGATGAGTTCAAAGTAATTAATTCTATAAGTTCAAAGATCAGTCAATCTCTATTTTGGAGCCTCTGGGTCTGCGGAGGGACTTCGGTTCCCTCTGTATTTTGTACCGTATGTTCCATGGGGAGTGCTCTGAGGAATTGTTCGAGATGATACCGGTATCTCGTTTTTACCATCGCACCGCCCGCCATCGGAGTAGAGTTCATCTATACTACCTGGAGCCACTGCGGTCATCCACAGTGCGTTTCCAGAGGTCTTTTTTGCCACCTACCATCCGGCTATGGAATGAGCTCCCCTCCACGGTGTTTCCCTAGCGCTATGACATGTCCTTCTTCAAACGAGGCTTGTGGAGATTATTAAGCTTTAGGCAGCGGCTTGGCTCTGCCCCCGACATTGCTGAAGTCCATGGGCGACGGTAACCACTCACCATCAGGTGGGCCGTATGCTCGTTTGCATACAAGGGCAATAAAAAAAAAACAAAAATATTAGTTCATATCAATCCAAATATGTCAAAAAATAACAAATTCTACAATAGAGCCCCAAGAATCGCAGAGAAAAAGAACACACATACTTTACAGACCCAAAGTAGGTTGATTAATTTAATATCATCGTTAGAGTATAAATTTTTAGATACCAAAAGTACATGCTTTTTTTTTAATAAATTAAAAAAACTTTAAAAAGTTAATTCAAAAGAAGTACACGTTAAAGCCTGTTCCATGACTGCAAGGGCTTGAAATTTTTTTGGTACAAGAAGAAAGTCCGCGTTCTTTTTGAAGTTTCGCCACAAACTGATATCTCGTACACAATAGGAAGGTGCCATATGAGGCAGTTAAACTTGGTTAAGGTGTTTTGATGCCTAACGTGACGTAATATGGTGTGTGTCAAATGGTTTTTTTTAGACAACTAAATGAAATATAATTTTTATTTGAAAGAATTCCTTTCAGATTCAAAATGTACCAATATTTGGTCTATTTAATTGAGAGAGAGAGAGTATTTTTTATTATACACCAAAAAACAAATAAACAGTGCGATACATTAAACACAAAAAAGTACAATTGGCGGTCTTATCGCTAAGAGCGATCTCTTCCAGACAACCATCAGGTGGACAAGAATCATTTGGAAACGAACTACGCGCGGTGTGCCATTGCAGTGAAATACATATACATATATGTACACATACATATACACATACATACACACATACATATCTCCATAAATATACATACAATTAATACAAAGTATTATAATATACTAATAATTATTAAAAATAAAAAATAATAATTAAATTTTGATTCTTTACGCATAAATAAGATATTGAGAATATTTAAAGAGATTTTAATTAATTATTAAGACACGTTTCCTAAACTAAACTTTATACCAAAATAGTACAATTATAGTGGTTGTTGTTTAGGTATCCGTT